CATAATCTTTTTTAGCCTTGCTCGATTAATTATCTTACTTTGCATTTTGTTTATCGATTTGTGTACATCGATTCGATTTGACAGCATAATTCGAATTGGAACAAATATCTGTAATTATCTTCTCAGTCAAATGAATGTGGAGAGTATCAATAGACGATTGAAGTTGTTTTAGTACGAAATGCAATGATCGATTCCATTGATAAACAAGTTCGCGTCGTTCGCTGATCGTTGGTGGAAGGGAAAGTAAAGGACTGAATGATTTCGCATTTGGATCAGAACAAGCTTTTTGAAGTTGAGTGTATATCTGGCGACTATTTATTGCTTTAACAACCATATCATAGAGATAGATATGTAGTTTCGAAAGACGTTCAACAAGCTTGAGAAGAGAAAATCATATGACAATCAAACGATATGTTTCGGATGGAGACTTACTTTAAGATCGACTATTGTTTGTTCGATGTCTCGTACGATCAACGAATAGTTTTTAAACACTGTCGCAAATTCCATGTATGAACCATTTGTTTGATTGAAACAAGTTTCAGTCGCATATCGACAATCACCTTCACACAAAGGTTCATTATTATCATTAATCATTTGATTAAATCTTGATATATTAACACATAACGGACACAGTGTTTCTCTAGCATAGCGTTGTATACATGAATTTGAAGTCATTGTTGGCAGCGATGTTATTCGTCGAATATCTGCATGGATGTAAACAATCATTGTTCGAAAGAGTTGAAGTAGAGATGAACCACTTGTTAAAATATAGAGCAATTCACGTTGAGATGATAACGCATCGATCTCGAATGCTTTGTTCACGAGACATTTTTTAAGTTTAGCATCAAGAACGAGTTCTTTGTTATCCACCATAAATTGTCGATATAATGAAATAATCAATTGATTGAATAAATCTATTGTCGCTTTGGACACATCATCAACAGATGATTGATTGTTACTCAATGTATTAAACAAACTTAGAACGGATTGATGAACATTCGAACGATATTCTTTGGTACCAAAGAGTGTTTCCAAAGATGAAATGGTTAAACGACGCAATTCAGTTATGTATTCTTTCGACCAGACTAAAAAAAAAACTGATGAATTCTAGCTATAGGTAAAATAAGTATCTACTTACTATCGATTTGTTCTTTTGATAGGAATAACGATCGTGTGAAACGATCGAATTCAGCATCGATTAACTTTTGCAATTCTGTTCCATAAGACAATGCATAAGTATTCATTATTTCGTGTGTACAACATGCTGGACCAGAACTAAGCTGCCCGCAAGCATCTTTCTGAACTATAAATAAACGAAAGAATGTCTAGAACAAGCTGCTCGCGACAGTTTCTCGGGCACATCCGGAAGAAAACAATTTACATATAAACATAGAACTAATCATTAAATATTGACTACGAACCATCCTGAGAGAATTCATTTCGATTTCAGATGAGAAACAGCGCATAACAAGCGAAAGAAGTTCCACTCGAAATCGACATTCATACAACAAAGATTATGTTTTACTTTTGCTGGCAACGATGCACATCATTGATTTTGATTATTTATGACAATATCGACATGTGAGCAAAAATTATTTCAACCTACCTTTGTATTGACTACTGGCAAGTTTTTCTGTCCATGTAATGTACGGTTGAAGACGCTTGTTGATCGAATTACATGGATGACGTAACGCTAAGTTCTCTCGATAATTGTCAGCAGTGAAGCTGAAGTGTATCGAAGAAAGCAAGTTGATCAAAAACACATGAACTAGCCAAGACATGCAGATCGTTCATCGAGAAAACATTCTGGCAACTATTAAACAAAATCTGCAATGAACAGGAAATGTGATTTGTTTAAAGACAAACATAGTAGAGTAGGAGAAGAGAACGAGAATGAAATCAATCGATGAATAAGGTATTTTTTATGCAAAATTATTTTACAGACCTCTGCACATGCACCATTTTTCTCTTTCCTATATAACGACCTTCATATTCACATATACATTATATATATATCTTTGTCTTTTCCTTTTTCTGTCTCTGACTTTCTCTCTTTTTATTTTTTTTCCTTCTTTTTCTTTCTTCAATGCTCAATTTTGTTTGTGATAATCAATTGACTCGTCTCGATTAATTTCTTTGCTCTTGAACTACGTCGACACCCAATGATCAAACGTAATCTAATATGTATGACAGGATCCAACTGCGCACGTTTTTTATTCTCCCGCATTAATGAAGAATAATCATTGAGTGACGCAAACCTATGTGACAAAAGATAATCGAAACCTTAGTACATACAACGACTTGAAATTATATGAAATCAATCTTTTGTCTTACACATGTTCGAAGATGAATGCATTGTCATGTGTTCGAGTGAAGAGGAAAGACCGAGAAAACTGTAGATTGATGTTTTCTGTTTCTTATTTGACTTGTTATTGTGACATGCGCAGCTATTCGAGCGATTGCACAAATACACCGTCTGTTTTGCGCATCGGCTTTTGTTTCTGCGAATGGCCTTGAATCAAATGATGTTTTACGAACGAATACACTTAGATACGTATCTCATCGCTTTCTTTCGATAATTTTGTGATCTTCAAGGATAGAAATCACAGTATG